GTGGCCAGTGTTGCGTGCAGGATTTTATTTTTAAATTACATACTGGCCACTACGGAATTCTATAGTTAACGAATTTACTGGCGACTTGTATGTGGATGCGATCTCCATTTTGTGTTGGCAAAAAAAAAGAATTCCTTCAGAGTCGGATTACATTTATTGAATGTTTATCTTAATGTAAATCTTAACTGTATTTTATTTATTCTCGTGTGAATTAACTTTTAAAATATGTATATTATAAGATGACATGACTCAAACAACGATTTAAATTCGATACAAATACCTTAAGATTTAAGATTGAATGGGTGTTACAAGATTATTTCTCTGCTACTAACCACATAATATTTTCCTATGTATAATATATGTTAAATGGACTATGACCACATACATATAAATGTCGATAATAGCATAATACATAACGATCGTACGAGGTCTTCTATCATTTGCATTCACATAACGATTTCGTCCTTGATATAGTGCCAAAGATTTTTTATGTAATTATTTCAAGACAGCCTTAGTCATTACATAGTCGAGACATGAACATTAAATAATAATTATGTACATACTTTAATTTACGACTGAAATCAATTCGATTCCGAAATATATTCGATTATTCGAGTTATTTTTAATTTAATTTTTGAATCGATTTATTTTCATTTGAGTCTAATAAATCACAATTGCAGTCTAAAAACAGGATCTATTGATTAGAGGACAATCTACTCTTACATTCACATTAAGAGTCATTAAGTGGTCAATTAAAGTACCCCTTAGTGTACACTTAATATGAGAAATAAGCGACTGTTTAAGACCATTTAATTACCGAGAACAGCAGTTAACAATTCATCATTATTTTATAAGTAATCCACTTTATATTATCTAACAGGCGAATGTTACGTTGTATTGAGAATTCAAGTTCAAGATTCCGCCCCGCGTCGGGTTATTGACCGGGCGCGGAACATGCGCGAGGCGGAAATACACTTTCCTCCAGAATAGCCGACATAAGCAAACTTTGTATGATACTTTGCAGAATCAAAATAATACGTTATATTATTCTATATCATTTGTTAAAGGAACTGCTTCTTGTTAAATGATAATTGGAACGCGATTACGGAAGATTAAAAAGAATGTATTTAAGCCATTCCTTTGTTTTAGAGTATTAACGTAAGATTAGTGTACCTAATATATAGAACAATCCCTCCGAAGAATAGAGTTACAAGACTATTACATTATATAAGATGTAACATTAATACTCGGGAAAAATTTCGTAAAAAAGAATTGTTATATGCATGAAGTCTTCGTTATTTTAATGTTTTCAAACTTAATATGTTACCTCTTTGGTTCAATTACATATAAAACCTTTAAATGTAATACAATCCGTATATAGTTATGAAACAATTATGTGTACTCAGGTGTTTTCTGCAGATAGAAGAGTTGTTAAATTTTTAGCGTCCATTAAGGGTTACGTATCGATTGTCCTTATCCCGAGCTCCCGTTTGCGAGGGATTTCGTGAATCCCCTTTATTGCGCTGCCGTGTTTGTTAACGATTACTTGGATATGATTTATTCTCAGAATTGTATATCAATGGGGAATGCAGAAGGTGAAAAATTATTTTTATAAGTCGATAAAATTTTACCACTATATATTTATTTCATTATGAACTGGTTAAAAAAATATATGTTTTCATTATGTTAATACTAGCTTTTGGCCACTACTGCGTCCGCGCGGAATTAACAAAACCGTAGTAAGTAGTCTATGTGTTCTTCCTGACTATGTTCTACATCTGTGCCAAATTTCATCGAGATCCGTTGAGTCGTTCTGGAGATACCTTGTAACAAACTATTCATCTTAACTTTCGCAATTATAATATTAGTAAGATTCCTTTAATTACTTCAAACGAATGTTGTGACGTAAGTGTTAGGTTTACTATGACCAATTTATTATGCTATCGTAGTTATCAACATATGACGTATTTTCTTGTTACGTAATAATTTTTATGACAATATAGGTAAGACCTTCTTCTGAAACTAGAGCAATGCTTAAAAAGCATAAAGCTATTTATAACTTCTCGGGACGACCCAGTTTTTAAAAAATGAAAATTCTTTTTTTTCTATTCCGTCAACAGCAATAGTGGACATTTTAAAACTGTTCATAAATTTTTAGCTTAATCGCTTTTATGCAAACGGTGAATCCTACCAAGCTTGAATCCCAACGCGGTGAACTAAAATATATACAATAAAATCCAAATGCGAATAAATTATATCTTTATAAGTTTTATCTCCAAAAATAATCCTATATTTTGTCGCTATAAAAATTATTATTATTATTATTCATACTCTACTTTTCATGCCTGTCTACTGTGATGTACCCAATAGGTTACGATAGAGATAAAACAAATGAATAAAACAATGTCGAGCATCATTTATTTATAAATATTGCGTGTTTACAATGTATCCAATAACAAAGAATCATCCAAAAGGGACAAGACTGCATCACTAGTGCATTTGATTCAAGTACTGCGTTGCTCATTCTCCGTACCTATATTACTCTGTAAGTGAGGGTTTGGGAACAATGGTGCGATGGTGGTGTTATTGATTGGTGGCAACAGGTTGGGGCGTCCTGTCGCCTGCGCTCCCCGCACACCGCGCACCCAGGGACGCCCAAAAGTTCACTTTCCTCTTCGATTCGGTTCAAGTCACTCAGCCAATTCCCGAAGTTATTACGAAGATGACACGGACATTTTATGTAACGCTTTTATATGTGTTTTATTACAACTATATTGTTAGTATCTGCATTAGATTAGTTTTTAAATTTTTGCCAATAATCTATTATGAAACAATTCGTTATCAAATCTATCATAATTTGTTTTCATAATGACATTCCTCTTGCAAAAGACAGCAATAAAAAACATTATAAGACAAAAGTGAGGAATATAAAATGAGAATGAGGGTATTTGTAATGTTCTTCGCAATTTCAACCTTATAAATACTGAAGACTCAATGTCCTAATAGCCAAAATGGATGATTTTCTTTTCCACTCATTACTTCAAGTCCTTGCTGCTTCCTATCAGTTTGCAAATTAAAAGATAATAACTCAAGCTTGCCAGTACAGTACTTTTGCACTATATTTGAGGTATTCTTCAGCCTTAACGTTCTTTTATTATGTTCAAGTTTTCAGAAACAGTTTAATTTCCCGTCAGTACGAACTGCTCCTGTCTATCTAGAGAGCAATTTGTTATTGTTAAGTATTGCGAAGTAGCGCGTAATTAATCAAAATATTGCTTCAACTCTGCCATCCATTTTCGTTTGTTAATTAAAAATAATACTAACGCGAAATAGTTATTAAGTGTTTCTCATAATTTATGTTAGTTATCATCATTGTAAGACCATTTTTAAATGTTTTCTTGAATAAATTTAGCTAACTCCAACCTTTTTTAAACAACACAGCTTTGTAAACTAATGGTCGGAATTACTTTTCGTTTAGGATTATAAATAAGTTTTCTAAATATCTAGAAATATTTAAATAATGATTTTTTCAATTACTCTGATATGAAATTTTGAAGATTCTACGATTATCTAAACTAGGTTAGAATACATTGATATGGGTCGTATTTGTTCTGTGGACATCAAGGAGGCGGACGTAGTTGTGTATTCGACACACGCGAGGGTTTATTGACTAAACGTCGAACCTTCCCTGCCGCTCCTCGCTAGAGGCGTATCTCCAAAAACTAAGTGAGTTTTTATCACATTAAGTACATATAAATGAAATTTTAATATTTACAGAGACTTGTGCAGCCGTTTAGAGTCAAAATCTTTAGATGGATGGAATGATGTTTGTTTAAAGATATCTCCATAACTGCTGAACGGATCGAACTGAAATTTTGCATAGACGTAGAACATAGTCTGGAAGAACACATAGGCTTCTCATTTAGTTTTTCTTTTGTAATTTCGGCGAACGGAGCCGCGGGCGACAGGTATTACAAGTATAAAAACAATTCTCTCAAAAAAAAATATCATGAGCTGGCAATACAAACTGTGTCTCTGTACCTAATTTGACAATGCTGGTGGTTGCTCGTACAAAAACTTTCCCTGCAAACAATACCACGGACGAAAGTTTCTGAAAATAAAATTCGTGTAATCTCTCGTTAGACTCATCGTTAAAACTTATTCGACAATGTCATCGTTGCGTACAAATGTTGCAGCTGAATTATAGAATCTGCTTTAATTCAAATTGGCCAAATCTAATCCAATAACGGTAGTTCACTACTGGACACATGTTATAACCTAAAATAATAATTTCCTTTGTTTTACATCAATTGATAACAACGCCATCTAGTGAATAAAAGTTAACTCAACGAAAGCTTTGTGATTACTTTTTGTTTTTAAACTGTGATTATTTAGTTTTGGTACGATATACATCACTAATATGTAACGATGCATCAAACATTATCTGCGAGCCGTCGTGGGAACTGAACGATAGCGCCGACACCCGATACCATCGCTTCGATAACGCTGTAATTAATGTAACAGGATTAACATAGCATTGATAACATACGCCTTCGAGTTAAGATGATATATTGCACACATACCTACCGTAGCTCAGGGGTTAAGCATTTGACTTGGAATCTGCAGATTTGGGTTCGCCACGTACCAATATTTTTTTCGATCCGACGTTCTTACGGTGAAGGAAAACATCGTGCACATATCTGCGAAGAAATTCAAAGATATGGTGATTGCAAGTGCATTAGGACCCGCGACTCCGTCCGTGCGGAATTGAATAAAATTAAAAAGTAGTCTATGTGGTCTTCCAGGCTATGTTCTACATCTAAGTTCTGAAGATACCTTCTAAATAACATCCATCCATCCATCTTTATATTCGTAAGATAGTAAGCAGTTCTTGTGTACAATTTTTTTGGTCAAAATTAGAAATATCAGTTAGACCTGAGTTTTGATGAATGTTGGGAAAAGTATTATTATTTGACTTCGCCTTTAGAGGGGTTGCGCGGGGCTGGGTTGCTCGATCGTTGTTCCGTGGTCGTCCGTCCCTTTTCCGCGCAACGGATACCGGACCGGTACAGCGCAGGTAACGCGCACTAGTGAACTGTGGTTCGTTGATTTTGCCGGACGTTCCATCCGTTTTCTGCAATTGAACATTGTTTTGAATTATTAAAATGGATGACATTGATATTGCATTGTTGATATCATTAGTTGAAAGTAGACCTGTGCTATGGGACAAAACACAGGAGTGCTACAACAAAAGACAAGCTACTTTTTCAGCATGGAAGGAAATTTTTACTACGCTACACTACGACTTCGAATCTTTGTCAGAAAAAGAAAAAGATGAATTCGGTAAGTTATTTTTTAGTGTTATATGCAATTTTGACTATAACAAAACCAAGACAAAGTTAGTGAAGAAAAATATAGTATATAATTACTATAAAAAGCGATCATAACTTTTTTTAATATTTTCATTTTAGGCAAAAGTATTATAAAGAAATGGAACAACGCAAGAGACAACTGGTTAAAGTGTCATAAACAAATAAAGCAATCTAAGTTTGGCAATAGTTTGAAAAAACGAAGAAAATATAAATTCTACGATAATATGTTATTCTTATCCAAAATTATGTTTCGTGGGACTCAAAGGAAGACAAAAATTCAAAGTATACCAGCCGGGGAAAAAATCGTACCATCATCGTCACATAACGAGGAAATTAATTCACAATCTGATAGTGAATCTTCTCCAACCATAAATAGAAGAAGTATCGCCTCGGCAGGGGCACTGCTGCGCCCCCTGAAAAGAAAGATAGACAGTTCTGAAGTTGATCCACAAATAGTTCCATCTAGCGACCATGAAGATGAAAGCAAGAGTTTGTGTTTCTTCAAAAGCATTGCTCCTATTATAGATAATTACAGTGTCGATAATTTTATTGATTTTCAATTTGAAGTTCTTAAAATTATGAAAAATATGTCACGAAAAGATTAACCTCCTATGTTACATTAAATGTGTAAAAACGATTAATCTTAGTTTGTTGTTATCGGCCGACCTATGATATTATTAACCATGTCACCGGCAAATAAATTTTTTATATCATAAGATGGCAAACGAGCGAGCGGTCACCTGAAATCGCTGAAATAGCGAAGTAACCGTTGCCCATAGGCATACGCGATTGCATATGCGTTGCTTACCTTTAATCGACGTAGGAGAAGATGCACAGAAAGAAAATACCTTCCCGTTCCATGCATTCATCCGGAAAGTCTACTTCCACTTCCCATCCTTTCTTTATAAGAAAAAGGGTGGGAAGGAAAACATGACTAAATAAGGCCTCCGGGACGCAATTGATGAACATTCATTGTTGCTGGTCTTTCGTAATTTACCTAGGTAGATTATAAAGACGTGTTAAAGTTGAAGGAATTCACTCGAATTATTAGTGGTGATTCAATCAACCTTTAAACATGTTCTATAAATGTTACAAACAATTTACTCACATTGAATCTGCTACATTAAAATTGAAGGTTATATCACTTGATAATCTTTACAAAAAGCAGGCGTTTGCTACCAAGGACGATTATATAATGACTGAGTTAGTTAAAATCAACATATTTCCATTAATTTAATTAGTAATACTCAGTTAAATCATTACAATAATGAATCATTAATCAACTAAATATAAATATATATGTAAACTCATTTGTTTTAACAAAGGTGTATCGCTTAATCATTTTATGGTTAACTCTATGTGTTATAATAGTATTCAAATAACATGATTGTTGATTGAAGAAAGATATATTGGTAAATAAGACAATGCTAAACGCATATTATTATGCTTTACACTATATATATAAGTGGTTATGGAGTACGGGAATCACTTCGCAATAGTTCAACATACAGGCGTGTTATGTGCGATCATTAGAATACATAGAACTATCTAATTATTTTTATATAGACTTTATATACTTCGAATTGTTCAATTGTGCACTCGCGTATCCTTATTTGAATGTGTTTAGTGATTTTAGTTTTTGAAATTCCACTGGTATGGTTTGTTCAATTTATGGGGGTGTGTTTCAATTAAATGGATTGTCATCTAGACATCTGCAATAAGATAAAAAGCTGATACGTTGCTTAAAAAAAACAGGGGGACGTTCAAAAAGAGGATACATTTTTCCTTTTCATAAGCATTCCCTTCCTCAAGATTTTCTGATGTTTTCTATAAATTAGAATGATGTTTATTTGTTTGTTGTTGTTGTCAGGAGCAGCTTGGCGCGGCGTAGCGGGCGGGCCGCGCCATGGGGAACAAGTGCTGCAGCCGCCGCCACGACCCAGACAGACCACTTGGTAAGTTCTACCTTCTACCACACTTAACTGTCAGAGATTTAGAATTAGAAATAGAAATTTGGTCACTAAGAAAGTCATGAGGCGTATTAAAGGTTACTTATACCCCAATTCAATGTATTGTTGCAAACTTTACTAGAATTTAGGCTTGTATAGCTCTGAAGGGGTTTGTAGATTTTTTTACCATGGTATTCTAAGAACATAATGCCCCCTTATAACATACATATATATAATATAATATTGTTATCTCTGTTTTGACCATGATAATGACAGGGATGACGATATGTTTAATACAGATTTTGGAAAACGAAATGATCCCTCATGATCCTTACACTAGGTTTAAAAACTTTTTAATTATAATTTTATCTTTGCCCACAATATCTTTTATAAAAGCGATGCATATCATCTCGTATTTGTGTGAAGTTGCCTATCGCGTTCTTATTCCCAGTCTTCAGAAAGCCACGATTCTTAGAAAAGGTACTCTTTATCTTTCTATTCACACAACGACATAAAAAGACAACATTAGTATAAGATGTTTCTATTTGTACTTAGTACATTCAGTACACACGTGATTAAATATTAACTGCCTCGCTCAGTGTTGTTTATTGGCTACTTAAACAGTCCCTTAATTTAATTACATCTGCATTAAGGGTCAATCTTACTAATCATTACGCAACATTAAATGTGGCAAATTTTAGTTATAGTCACAAATTATAAAAAAAAATATGTGACTTTTTCTCATAATTCGCTGCGCTTTACAAATGTCAGAGCTTTTAACTTGCATAACTAAGCTAATGATTTTATTACTTGTGAAAGGCTACCAGAAATAACTAACTCTCCATATACTACGTAAAATAATTTTGATTTCAAAGCAATTATTTTTAACTTTTATACGTCCTCTGACATTACAAAACTACCTAAGATTTATTAACTTCGTTGATATATCAACTATCTTTCCAAGACACCGTTCCATCATATGCAGGACACCTCTTGCACAAATCTAACTTATAAAATATTTTCTACGTACAATAGTTACTCCACAAACTTGTATTGCGGCTTAAGTGAGCGGAAAGGTTTAGTAAAACTTAATCCCTAGCTGCCTTTGCTAGAGTTTTCTTTTTCAACTAACTTGGTAACTTACAGAAAGTTTGAACAGCTTGACTGATAGGCCAATGTGGTACATCGGACCAATATAACTTTTACATCGAGTTACGGTTATCGACTTTCGAATGATTTTTCTAATCTCCTACATTGAAGAAGAAGACTAAAAGGTCGATACAATTATTTTACTTATGCGTATCTGTTATTCTCAAAGACAATATTGTTACACAGATGCTACAACACTGAAGAGTCACTTTAAAACACTGTTTTGTTAAACTCTTTTTTTAACCCTTTGACCGCCGTTGATTGATATTATGGTCAATGTAACAACGTTGATGTCATGATCGGCGTGACGCAAGCCTCATAATCTTGTTTCATGATTTTTGGTAATATCTAATATAAGCGTATAAAAGGTTTTTATGTCTAAATTAAAATGTAATTGAAACATTGTATAAGTTTTTTATAATTAGGTGAAAAATAATTTTAGTAATTATTAATTAGAATCCTTTGTCGTGAATGGCGCGCATGCAAAGTCAAATATGAGAATGAGTAGCGAAGAAAGAAAAAAGAAAGTAAGGCTAGTGTTGTGGCAGTACACCGGCACAATGTCGAATTTTCTTCCTAAAAGTAATGAATGAAAGTTCTATTCACAAATAAATATTTCTATAGCTTCAAATTCATGCCGTTTCTTTGTCTAGCTATGTATGTAGCATGTTATGTTTAAACTTATCGGAGAAGGCTTTGAAACACGCACAATATGATATTGCTTCCTAATACCTCCGGCAACCGTAAAGAGGATTACACTTTTGTTACCGCAGGCAAGTTATCTAAAACAAAGAATGTACTCACTTCCTTTGTTGGCGTAATGATGTAAAGAACGGCAAAACTTTGGTATTTCTTAAAGTATTTCTCTTTGAAGTAATTGAGAGGGAAAATTTAATTTATTACACTTTGTTTGCGAATATTTGAGCTATGCTTTAAATAAATACTTCATAATACAAAATAAAGAAAAGAATATTTCTTGTAGCTTTTATACAGCGTATAAAGTCACATTGAAATCTTATATTTTACGTATAATAATGTATATCGCGTTGTTAGTTACTGTATAGTTGCGATAATGAAGTTCAAATGAGGGCAGGGACCCATTTAGCTGCGGTCAAGAGTAATCACACCGCCTACTCGCCACTCGCCTCAACTTATACTGACTTTTTATTTCTTATATATGAAGAAAATTAAAATGATTAACTTGAGCTTTTCTATTACAATTTATAATGTCATTCATCGAAGTTTTTATATCAATAATATTAGAACTGTCGCGTTCATAATTGTTAAGCATTATTAGATGTTTGTAAATTTAGATGTCACACATGTGGATCACACAGTATCCCCTTTTATGTTGCAGTGTACCCGGCGTACAAGAAGAATGAGGCGGGCTTCACGACATGTCCTTCGCTGGAGAACCGCTACACTGGCGAGCCCAACAACCGCGTCGTGTCACGCCGCCCAGCCGACATCGTGCGTACGCGCAATCCAGGCACATGTCAGTTAATTACAATACAAAACATAAGAGTAAAATGACCGTAGTAAAATAAAGACCAGTGGTACTGTCCCCATGAATAGTAATTCTATGCTTTGCTCCTAATACTTGAGATGTTCTTTTTAGTCTCTTCCTAATATCGTTTGTAATTTTCTGTGTTCAAGATTACATAGCCTCTGGTAGTTACTATCACCAATATTTGTGTAAATACAATTTCACAATCTGATGCACAATTATATTTAGGTTTAATATAATACTTAAAAAAACTTGTTGCAATTTCAGGTATATCAAACGGCGGTAGACGCGTAGTGAAAGCGCTATGCGCGTACACGGCGCGCGCCGAGTCCGACATATCGTTCCGCAAGGGAGATCGTATGGAGGTGCTGAGCGACGCTGAACCAGACTGGTGGCGTGTGCTGCACCTCACTACACGCCGTGAAGGACTCGTGCCAGCCAACTTCGTCGCTGAAGAGAGCTCCGTTGAGTGCGAAGAGTAAGTAAAACAATTGAATAACATTTAATTTCATTTAGATGGATGGTGTTAGAAGGTATCACCAGAACGGCTGCATAGATCTTGCTGTAATTTGTTATAGATATACGACATAGTCTGTAAGAAGATATAGGTTACTTATTATGTTTTTTTATTCCGCGCGGACAGCTAGTTGTCACTAAATATCTATTATCAGAGTTAATTAAATTAATGGCATTATTTTGGACGATGACGCAATTCATAGTATATTTCATGGTACAGGAACATGGATATTAAACATTTGGTTCAGCTAATCCGTGAGAAGAACCGTAAGATTCGTCACAACCGACGAAAACTTCGCAACAGGCGGAACCGTTGGAGGAAGATAAAAATTTTCTAAATACAAATTCTGTACAGAGCACACAATATACAATACTCAAAAATAAGATAAACAAAATAAAATTAATATTTTTAAATATTGAACATAATGTAAATAAAAGTAATAATTCTTCTAATCTGTAGCTTTAAGATAAAGATATTTAATTTTAATAAACTTTGTTACATAAATGCAATCTTTTATTTACATATAATCTAAGTACTTTGAACACCTAATTATTTTAAATATAAAATACATATTTTGCTCTCTGTCAATTCAAATAAATCAGAACTACACAACTTACATAACCACACATTTTGTTTAAAGTAATCTCTTGGTTCATATTGCAGTACTTTTATTAAATTAAGATTTTATTATTTAATGACGGTCAATGAAAGAAACAAAATCGTAATATAAAAATGTATATCACAGTTATAAATCATTACTGTATGAAGTAGCCTTTTTAAAATTAATAACATGAAAACCAAAAAACCAAGAAAGATTTAAACGAAATCTTAAATTCCTAATATGAAATATTATACAGGTTTTAAAGATTACTTTTAATGACAATTTACTATTTAGTCAAATTAAACAATGGACTAGAATTAATAAATTAACGGAAATTAACTTATTGTTCACAGTTGGTTCTTCCCGCACGTATCAAGGAAGGAAGCTGACAAATTACTCTTAGCTGAGACGAATCCTAGAGGAACGTTCTTAGTGAGACCAGCGGAACACAACCCACATGGCTTCAGCCTCAGTGTTAAAGACTGGGAGGAGGGCAGAGGTTACCATGTCAAACATTACAAGATCAAGCCCCTAGACAACGGAGGGTTCTACATCGCCACCAATCAAACATTCCCCAGTCTTCCTGCGCTGGTCATGTCGTACACAAGTATGTTAACCGTTTACTTTATTTCAGTAGTGAAATCAGGCTCGAAGGATCAAAATTTTGTTATTGGTCCTTCGAGTCAATCATATTATGTCAACCAAAAGTATCATTTGACGATGTCTTGTCTCACTCTATCCCTATAAGCTCTTACTCTTCTGATTTTACTGTAACAAATTTGATATTATTAACCAATACTATAGATAAACCGTGTGCAAATAAACTAATATGACTAACTGAATGTGAATAACCTTATGTAAATAAAGTGTACTAACTGTTCGCAGAGAACGCGTTAGGGCTGTGCCACGTGCTCGCGCGGCCGTGCCCCAAGCCGGAGCCGCAGATGTGGGACCTGGGCCCGGAGCTGCGAGACAAGTGGGAGATCCCGCGCAGCCAGATCCAACTCATCAAGAAGCTCGGCCAAGGCAACTTCGGGGAGGTGTACTACGGCAAGTGGTCCAATAACATTGAGGTAAGTCTGTCATTTTAGAATTTTTCCGGCAGTTGCGAGTCTACCTCTATATTTTGTATGATGATTTTAACTTTATATAAATATTATCTTAATTAAATTCCAGGTCGCCGTTAAAACGCTTAGGGAGGGCACGATGTCGACTCAGGCGTTCCTCCAAGAAGCGGCCATCATGAAGAAGTTCCGACACAAGCGACTGGTGGCGCTGTACGCGGTCTGCTCGCAGCAGGAGCCCGTCTACATCGTGCAGGAGTACATGTGTAAGGGCTCGTTGCTAGAATTCCTCAGGAACGGCGACGGGAAGACGCTACAGTTCGAAGACCTAGTCTATATCGCGGCACAAGTCGCGTCCGGTATGGCGTACCTCGAATCGAAACTCTTAATACACAGAGATCTCGCCGCCAGGAACGTGCTAATAGGAGAGAATAACGTCGCCAAAATATGCGACTTCGGTCTAGCGAGGGTCATAGAAGATAACGAATACTGCCCTAAGCAAGGCTCCAGGTTCCCCGTCAAGTGGACCGCCCCAGAGGCAATAATATACGGAAGATTCTCCATCAAGAGTGACGTCTGGTCCTATGGTATCCTCCTAATGGAACTGTTCACGTATGGACAGATACCGTACCCTGGACTCCACGGAAAAGAAGTCATAGAGCAAGTGGAGAGAGGGTACAGAATGCCTAAACCGGTCGGACATTACCTCCCGGACGCTATTTATGGTCTGATGCTGCAATGCTGGGACGCCATTCCGGAGAAGCGGCCGACCTTCGAGTTTCTCAACCATTATTTCGAATCGTTCACAGTGACCAGTGAGACGCCATACAGAGAAGTGCAAGACTAGTGCTGTGATATAGTGAATTAGTTTTTGGACTTATCACAAGTATCAAGGTGATAGGTTGAGCGCTTGCTGTGACGGACTGTGCTTAGACTTGTGTCAGTTTGTGCCTCGTGACAGCCAGGCAGGCAGTGTCGCTTGTGAACTGTGAGACATTTTGGGTAAGGTCCTTTTAGCGAATTAAGGGAATTATGATGGACATGTGATGCTTATGCTGATTAAAATATAATTGTGGCTAATTTATCTAAGAAGCACCTGTGATTGTTATGAAAATTTATTCATACTCTTGTTAGTATTTTAAATGAAACTTTTATACATTTCTAACCATTTCTAACAACGGACTCATGTTACATAAATGTGGTCTAAATAATTAAACGAAAAGAAACGTAAGAAGTTTTGTTAATTTGAACTCACACTCCATTGTAATTCCTTTTTTTGGTATTTTTATACTCGAATCTTTGACTTAACAATACAGGAATGTGTGAGCTTGTCATTTTTATTATCACACCTTTTCTTTAATTTGTGATCGGCAGACATATAAAGGGCTTAACGATGAAAGCAAAAGCACACACGTAAATAAACAAGGATAATTTGTGTTTAAGGAAATCATAGTCTTGTAAATTACACTTTATATTTTCTTATTTATTAGCATTAGCTTAAGCACAGTTTAGGATATTGTTTTGCGCAATGTACAAAACTGTTTTGTAACGAATAAGCAATAAGATATAAAACTAAATGAGATTGCGATATTTTCATATTCTAAAGTGAAATGTGATATCTTTTTTATATCACTTAAGTCTTTAAAGATCGATCTCAGTCCCATACTCGACGTAATTCCATAAAAATTGTATAAAGATGTCATAGTGTTAACATTCCTTCAAATGTATGAACAAGTGTTAGTACCGTTTTTTCCAAAAACAAAATTTTTAAACAGCCTTTTTAACTTATCTTTTTTTTTAGTGTATTGACTCCAAAATCCTTTAGTATATTAAAAATTAATCACAATTTGTTAATGTTATATTGAGTGTGTTTTATTTTAAAAAAATCATTTTGACTATTAATTTTTGTAATCAGAATATTATTTTATTTTAATTATAAATCATTATTTATATTTGGTAATGTTAGAGAGATGTATAAATAATTGTGTATTAAGACTGACAATATTCATTGGTCATTTTATTTTCAACCCTATGAATAACTGAATAAAGTCTCTTGTAATTTACCCACTCACACCGAGGGCTCCTTTGCATCAAAGACCATTTCAGAAAAGCAATGCCTCTATGACCATTATCATTTCGTTAGTACATTTCACTGCAAAGGGGCCAAATACAGAAATATGTAAAGACTAGATTTAGGACCATATACCAAAGAGTTTTTATACATTAAGAGCGATTTTAGAGGCGAAATATTTAAGTTCTAGAATAAGACCTTACGATCCTTACACCAGTTGACCAATAATCTCAATTTTGACATTTATACAAGTTATATTGTACTGCCAACAAATATATTCAAATAGCTTCCGACGAAGTGAATTGATTAAAAAAATTGTCATCTTATATCCAAGAAACATAAAAAAGGCTTCTTTTTATCATAGTCTTTGATGATAACGGCATATTTCTACCACTTATCAGGAATATGTATATGTTTGGGCATTACGGAGATTAATTTAATGACTGATGGATAGACTTAGATATATAACCTATAAATAGAATGTTTCATACAAGTTTGACGTTTAATCGAGAGTCAATTGTCAAAATATCATTTTGTCATCACAACAAAGTCATCCGGAGTTCTTTTTATAAGTTCTCTTTTGTGTTCCGGGTTGAATATCTATAGGTTATAAATCTATTTGGATAGTTTATACTAAAAATATAATCTCTGTTACTTTTGCTCCTTCCAAAAGTATACCACTAACGCTTTAGTCACCTAATCATTTGTCATATTTGTATAAATCATTGAATATAGTGTCTTAACATTCCAGATATTCGAAACACATTAAATTTGGACACTTTTGTATGAAAACGATTAGGTTTGTAAGATTTTGTACATACAATGAAATAAATGTCATTGATATAAAATATGTTTTTTTATTTACTTGTATATTAATATACCTTTGAATTATTCTAACAGGGTAAACTAATCTGACTATTAGCAAGAAGACGGAGTCAAACTAATGTTTTCTTTCCAATTTCCTTTTTTTTTATAAAGTAAACAGTGGTAAGTGAGCAAGCGGCCACCTATGGGGCTAGACAAAGTGCATTCGCTTCGAAGCGATTCCATAGCGAACTTCAAAAATATATGGAACTGACGCGCGACAATAGAGAGATCGCGGTGGTCTAGGAATAGGATTAATTTGAAATTAAAAACAAATGTCCTGATAATAAATAGGAACTATTTATTTACAAACATAAAACTTGTTTTTTTGTCATAATTTTGACTGTCATTTCACATATGCTTTATTACATTCAAATATTTGTATCTATTCTATCGAAAACATTCAAATAAATAATTACACAAACTTCACTTATCATACAAAATACAGAGTAAAAAATTGAGACTAATCTAAGTAAATACTTTTTGAATAAAAAAAATTAACTATCAGTACTCAATGTCAAACTGTATCCGCATAAATCTTACTCTTCATTCTAAGATATTTATATTCAGATTGGTAGAAAGAATGCACGAAATGCCAACACCAGCGTAGCGGCTGAGGTACATAGTGTGGATGTTTCTTACTATAGTGGTTCAAATATATCGCAAGCGCGACTAACAAACCTGACCAAACATATCTGAAACAAAGTATAAAGTAAATAGGTGGCCTAATAGTAAACACACATAGCCCATGATCTAAGAAAAAAAATTAACACAATATTTTTGTGTATTCACAGCCAAAAAGCATGTGACACAAAAATTTAATTTACTATTTTTTTTTTAATTAAATAGGCCAAGAATACTTAATTTGTTCAGTCGTATTAGTCTTCTATATTTTTTAAACAATAGACAATAACAGTAAAAATAATAATAGTTACTTACTGGAAGACAAATGGTTTGCTAAACAACAAGAATGATATAACAATGGAGAGTGCTTTCCGCATTGTGGTGACAGTGACAGCAACTGTGGCACCACAGATTCTGACCAAAGTCAGCACTGCTTGTAAACCCATGTACCCACTTACACTAAGAAGGAATATATTTGTGTACATTGATACAGCATCCTGAAAAAAAACCACCATTGTTTTTGTTGTTGATAGAAACTGGATTCTTTACTATTTTTTTCAAACATACTTATTAGCTCTATCTAACTTTTGCTGTCCATATTTATGGATGTAACTAAAAAAACATGCACACAAAGTTTTTCAAGTCACTGACATAGCTTTAAATTAAAAATATGTAGCCAAATGCAAAACATAATATACGTTATAGTTTCTATAATAATTATTTAGGTAAACATAGCATGTCAGTAAACATGTTCTATTTTAATTACAAATAAGACATATTTTAATAAAATAGCAAATACAAAAGTACCTGAGAGCAATAAGCGAATCCATCCACAAAAATTCCACTGGCACATGTAATAACCAAAAGGTAACAGCATGCAATTGCATATGAGTAAAACACCACTTCATTGTTTGAGGCAAAAAATTGTTTCATCGCTTTCTCTTGAACATTCCCGATGATTGCGTCACATAGCAGCGCTAGCGAAATAACCAGGACCCCAACAGCATCAAAGTTGGGAGATGTTTTTGAATCAGCTGAAATATTTTTAGAGGTAATTAGAAAAAAATATGTTCTTGAAATTATGGTGTTTTGTGTTTTTTTATAAGAAAAATGGGCAGGTAGGTTATTAAATGTTCAAAAGGGAACATAGCTATAGACCGCCTTAAGCCAGTCACCGGCCATGGAAAGATGTATATGGAAAAATCATTTTATACTATGGAAACATAAAAATTGAAAGCATAAAAACTTACCTAAAGTAAACATAGTCAAGCCAATACACATTACAACTGCTGCCATATAGTCTAGGAAGCCGTATCTCTTGCCCAATATAATAATACTGCCTATCATCACAGGAATGAGCTTGCAACTCTTAAATATCAATTGAGTTGGATAATTCAGGTAACTAAGTGATAAATTTGATAGTGACATTGTACCTAATGTTAATGCGGCTAAAACTGCATAGGTTTTTAATGGTACTCTGAAAGAATAATCATCATGTAAATGAAATAGGATTTATTAATAATCAAAAAAATATTAAAGTCAGAAATATCTTGCTTTCTCTGAAACTTATTATTAATACTTTATTAGAAACTACTAGTTGCCTTTGTTTGTGCAGAATTAGAAGAAAATGCCTAATAATCAATTGGCCCAAAGGGAAACCGAAACATATATACTTATATTATAGAAATAGTACTTACTTCCTTTTTATTGGATTTCTTATTAAAGATTCCGCATAGCTTAGTAGCATAGTAATTACAAATTGAATAAATGTTATATAGAGGCTGACTGGTTTTACCTCTGCTTTGGAGAATATGAGCTCAAGAAAGTATCCATATGCCAAATAACAAACAAATACAAAAGCGGAGCAGCACAAAAATTGTACAAGTTGGCTGTACGGAGTAATATTAAAGCATAATATATTAATCTCAGTGTTTGAGCTGTCTTTACCACTTGGCGAGTTGTCAATTTTGATTATGGTCTCTTTGGAAGAATTCATTTTTATCACAGAATTGAATATATATTTTACTGCATGTTCTGAAAAAGCAAGATGTATTAATATTTTTGATATGCCAATTTCAATTTTATTGATTACATTCTTGATAATCAATTTCCAAACGGGTATTAAATAAGATAAACTGAATATTGCAAATAATCGTTTGTATTTGTACCTTTGGGAAAATTAATTTAAATAATTATTATTGTTTACTAGGCTACGTGTCATAAATTGACAATGACATTTAATAACTGACAACGACATTTGATCATATTTCCAAGCACAGAGAATACATCATATATTCTCTCTTCTTTACGAAAGCTATCTAATTAGTTATTTTACGATCTGGCTAAAATAGGACATATGTTGGAGTTTAAAACTAGTCCTGAGTAATGTGATTTCACCACATTATTTTATTGCTTTGCTTCATTTTGTCTTTGAACTCGGCTATCAGCCTTTTGGCTCGCATCGCACTCAGACAATACTCTTTGGTCAGACTATCATTAACTTTCAGTCTGGCAATACTTATTCGTCTGATATTTTATAGCAAACAAATAGTTATAAATCTATTTTTATTATTACAAATCTAATGTTTTCTTGCATTTTAATAATTTTCACTTAGCAAGGTGTGTTCTTAGTTTGTGAAATATGCGTGGATGTAGTGTTTTTATGTGCTTTCGGACAGTTTTTAATTCGTCATGTCAACTTTCGCAGATCATCTAATACGCCAGAGAAACTGGAGTGAGGACAATTATGGATTCAGATTTGTCCGGTGCGGATTTCTGTCGCTTCTGTCGATCGGAAGCTTCTTCGGATCGCCCTTTATTCCATCCCTGCATTTGCACCGGCTCTATAAAATGGATTCATCAAGAGTGTCTAGTACAATGGATGCGGTATTCGCGAAAAGAGATTTGCGAGTTGTGTGGTCATCGATTTTCCTTCATGCCGATTTATTCGCCCGATATGCCTCGACGACTACCGATACGGGATGTGATGGGTGGTTTGGTCACCTCAGTGGCGTCGGCTGTGAAAGACTGGCTGCACTATACTCTGGTAGCCCTCGCCTGGCTCGGCATCGTTCCACTAACCGCTTGTAGAACATACCGATGCCTATTTTCGGCTTCTCTGGATCCAGTTATATCACTGCCATTTGATATAGTATCGGCTGAGAATCTTGCTAAAGATGTTTTCTCGGGTTGCTTTGTTGTAACATGTACTTTATTTTCGTTTATCGGTCTCGTATGGCTCCGAGAGCAGATAATGCATGGTGGGGGTCCAGACTGGATGGAAAGAGAAAACCTACCAGCTCCTCCTCCAGAAGAAATCCCATTGCCTGAAAATAATAATGACCGGATTAATGAGGTTCCCGGAGAAGAAGGAGCAGAGAGAGAAGAAGGCATTGGTGATGCTGGAGAAGATGCTCTAGTGGGAGATGAGGCTAATTGGAATCCTATGGACTGGGACAGAGCAGCAGCTGAGGAGCTAACCTGGGCTCGGCTTCTTGGTTTGGATGGCTCAATGGTGTTTTTGGAACATGTCTTTTGGGTTGTATCCCTTAATACATTGTTTATTCTGGTGTTTGCATTCTGCCCGTACCACATTGGAAAATTGGGGGCTGCTCTAGCACGCTTGACTGCAGAGGGTCCCTTTGCTGGACCTCTGACTGCTTTGGCTGGGTATGTGTTGGTGGGAGCAATCCTAGCTGTGTTACATGGCATAGCATCCTTGTTACGTCTCAGAAGTGCAAAGAAGGCTCTAGGTTTCTGCTATGTTGTTGTGAAGGTGGCCCTCCTGTCTGTTGTAGAGGTAAGATTAAAATTATTTAGTTTTTATAGTTGTAATTATAAAAACGATCAAATTTATGAAAGTTTAAGTGAAAAGTTGATATACAATCAAAGAGATATAACCAATTTTATAGGTCCTAAGTGGGTTCATTCACATCAGTATTTTGTTACTCTGTAGATCAATTTGCCTAACATGTCTTTTAACTTGTAAACACAATACAATTAATTGTGAGTCTATTGCTTTTACAGTTAATTACAATAGAATACATATTACAAAAATAACATATTCATTTAAGTTGGTACTTCTTTCTGTAGTACATGAATTCAAACACAATAGCTCATTATTATTGGAATAACAAAAGAATAGTTTATCTAAGGCTAATTTAATACAATGAAATTCCAGGAATATTGGCATTCTAATTATTGTACATTTATTTATCAATGTTTTCCATAATTGTGATAAATTGTTTCATAGTATTTTTAATGTGCATATTTATTTTTTGTGCTTTTTATATTTTTTTCGTAATTAATATCTGTCCTAGGTTTTTCCACATTTTATTTGTCTAAAATGATAAAAGAAATGACAGATGATTCACCCAAAGGGGTAAGCACAGATGAGGGAGTTCCATAGGTTACTCCTATCTAAAATGTCTTAATCTGACTGAAAAGATATTATGTTTCGTTATATGTATTCATATACATTCATGAAAAAAAACAATTTAAAAAACAACAAAAGCCATATTATGTTACCTTCTTTACAGATTGGTGTAATCCCACTTGTCTGTGGTTGGTGGTTGGATCTATGCTCCCTCTCAATGTTTGATGCGACCTTAAAGGACAGAGAGTCAAGTCTCCAAGCAGCACCTTGGACATTGATGTTTATACATTGGCTTGTTGGCATGGTCTATGTATACTACTTTGCATCATTCATCTTGCTACTAAGAGAGGTGCTCCGGCCTGGTGTGCTTTGGTTCTTAAAGAATTTGAATGATCCTGACTTCAGTCCTGTGCAGGTACTGTAGCTTTTAGTTCTTCTGGTTGTGTAAAAAACTCAAAATTAAAAAAAAAAGATTGCAATTGCAGATGTATATGGCACGCTTCGCTATTTCATTTGCCACATTTACAGTAAAGAATTAAAAAAAAAAGATATATTATGAACAATGATTACCATAGAGTATTATTTTATTTTAAATATACTATCACTAGTTAATTAACTTTTTTGCAGGAAATGATACATCTTTCTGTATGGTCGCACATTAGGCGTCTTATTGTTTCGGCCATGATATTCGGTACAGCTGTACTCTTTATGCTGTGGCTACCGATAAGGGTCATCAAATATGTGTTACCCGGATTTCTTCCTTACGCCGTTGCTGTGCACACTGAAGCACCCGTGAATGAATTGAGCTTGGAATTATTATTGCTGCAGGTATGTATGATTGTTAATTATGCTATAGTAGGTGCCGCCGGCGACTCCGCGCGGGATTAAAAAGAAGCTTAATTAGTAGCCCCATGTGTTCTTACAGATGTTGTGAATATATGCTTTATTTCAGCAAGATCTATGCAGTCATTCTGAAAATTCCCTTCAAATAAATATCCATCCATACATTCATATTTATGATATTAGTAAGACTTTGTATAGTTTTTTTTCTAGCATTAAATGGCAGGAGAGAATACTAAAGAAATAAAGAAAAATTACATTTCAGTTTGAAAATTCTGTCACTATTTTTGATATTTCTTAAATCTGGTTTTGTTGTGTTTATTGCAATTTCTTCATTTGATATTGTTATTTTATTATGTATTTAATTATATATAATATGATAAAAAACATATATAAATGACATAGAAAAACAATATTTTGCGGAAGCAAGGAATAAATAAATAACAAAGTGTCACCTTGAACACAGGTTAAACAAATTTGCATAAGTATTATATATTTCTCATAGTTTGTATATGTTCATAAATAGCTTGTCATTTGCAGAGTGTAACTAATTTTACACTGTTTCTATCATAATAGGAATCTGTTGTTTATTTAAATACTAGCGGTCGCCCGCAACTCCGTACGCGCGGATAAAATAAAAATTAGTATCCTATGTGTTCTTCTAGACTATGTTTTATATGTGTACAAAATTTTACTGAGATCCGTCGAGCTTTTTTGGAGATACCTTCAAACTGCCATCCATATAAATATTCTCATTTATAATGTTAGAAAGATAAACTCTTTAATATTAATTACAAATGACATTTATTATTTAAAGATAATACCAAGTTATTAGTTTCGAGTGTCACATATTATAATGCTAAATTTGTTTCTTGTCCGATTTTTTTAATACTAGACGGTGTAGACCAGTCGTTCCCAAAGTGGGCGATAACGTTCCCTTGTGGCCGCTGCAGGTCTCAAGTTGCGGATTATAGTAAAAGTTTCGTTTAAAATTCTCCGTTAATATACATATATAGGTCAAAATAATTAATTAATTTAATTTGAAGTTATAGTGGTTTTTAAATATGTGAAAATATGGGGGGCGCTAAAAAAATATTTATTCTCAAAGTGGGCAGTAGACAAAATAAGTTTGGGAACCACTGGTGTGGACGAAGTAACATTTCATTAGCAATGCCACAAAATATCACGTGTTTATTTGCTTACATTATGACGATACTATTAGTGAAAACAATACCTTTTTTGTCAAAAAAATTGTAGGTTTAACCTTACGGATATTTCTTGTAACATTCCAACTAAGGTTTCTATTGAGATATGGTATAACAATAGAACAGGATTCGAACTTTCGACCACATGAATGCATGTCCGTACCATTTACATTTGGGCTATTCGCACTTCTTTGTACTGATGAGAAATATCAAAAGTATTATTATAATATTTAGGTGATTCTGCCGGCTCTATTGGAGCAGTCTCACACTCGCACGTGGCTGAAGGCGGGTCTGCGTGCTTGGTGCGCGTGCGCCGCTGCCCTGCTCGGACTGCGATCCTACCTGCTGGGCGAGGCCGCTAGAGATGAGCCCAACCCGCCCCCACATCCTCCGCATCAGCTCGGCGCGGCGCATCAGGTGGGATATCATAATATTAAGGCTTATGTGAAGAATGAATATTCGATGCTAGAAACTGAGAATTCTAAGAACTGTTAACTTAACTGTTTTTATTGACTACAATAATGCTAATATAAAATTATTTTACATCACTGGAAATAATATTTCGAGGATTTATTCTCGAAGGTTATAAATACAGGATGATTTATCTATATAGTAGCTGTTGCCCGCGACTCCGTTCGCGCGAAATTAACAAAACGTAATTAGTAGCTAATGTGTTCTTACAAGTTGTATTCTACATCTGTGCCAAATATTAGAAATCTATGAGTCGTTCTACAGATACCTTCTAAAACATCCATCCATCCAAACATTTATAAATCAGTAAACAGCTTCTTTAGACCATAATTAAAAGAGTTTAGTTGAGATATAAACTATATTAGGCTCTGGTATGGCGTGACGGTCCTGCGGGCTTCGAGCCGTACGTCCGCGTGTCGTGGTTCCCGCTGCGGCTGGTCGGCCTGCTCGTCCTCGTCTCCATATCACTCATCATGGCCAGCGCTCTCACTTTGGTCAGTATACTAGCACTTGCCAGCAACTTTGTCTGCGAGGAATTAACAAAATCTAGTAATAAATATAGCCTATCACCCGGGGATAGTATAGCTTTCAAATGGTGAAAGAACTTGTCAATTTGGTTCAAGACTTTCGTAGCCTATTTAATGTAAACAATTAAATCTTTCCTTTTTATGGTATTAGTATGTAGTTATTAGTAAATATAATTATTAGTAAATAACTTGCTAGTTTTAGTTGTTAAATTTATGTAAGAAGAAATCTTTTCGTTCCGATAAATCTAGTTTTAAATTTCTTAAGGTTTAATAGTATTTTTGTTAAAGATAGGATATCAAAACAAGTGTTTAGTAAATATGTAAAGGCAATTTATTTATTAGCTTTTTAAGTAACTACGATAAATGTAATTTTTAGGTTATTCCGGTGGCTATTGGTAGGAAAGTGATGTCCCTGTGGCTACCAAAGGGAGCGGAAGGTGTTCACGAGCTATACACGGCGGCTTGCGGTAAATATGTCTTTTTTTTAATTATTTTTTTCCGCATTTATTAATTTTAATTGTTTTTTTAGTATTAACATAGAAGTAACCTTTGATGTCGTGATCATTAATATCGATTTTCAAGTTAATTCTGTCAAAATAGCTTTGTTAAAATTTAGGTACTTTTTTGTCTAGAAATGTAAGACGATATTCTTCAAGCGAAACTCTTGTACCATAATGATGTCATAATTTGAAAATTAGTTATGTATACTACTAGATGTCGCTCGCGACTCTGTCCGCGCGGAATAAAAAAAACCTTGATAAGTGGTCTATGTATTCTTCCAGGCTATGTTTTATATCTATGCCAAATTTCATCAAGATTCATGCAGCTGTTCTTGATATGCCTACTAACAAACATCCATCCATCCAAACATAAAACAATAACACAAAAATACAAAGAACACTGTAAAATAATATGAAATGTGTCACTAATACATTCATTCAAGATTTGCAAACGTTTGTTAATATGCGTAAGTACATTTTAATTATAACAAAAAAACAACGTGGCTTCTTGCATTATTTAAAATGTCTCTTGATGATTTTTTTTTTTGATTTTTTTATTGTAGACTTATGCTTAAATATATGTTATTCATAAAATTATTATTTGATTTGCACTGTGTTTGAATGTGCTTTTTATTTATTTGTGTTTTGTCACTTTTGATGTTTAAACTTTTAGATATATGTTTCCGATAGTCGAAAGCATTATTGTTTTATGGTGATGTTCAGTGATTACTGTTTTGTATTATACAAACTCATACTTTGATTAGGGATTCGGGAAAGTTCGGTTAGGGATCATTTTAATTTTTTTTCTACGTATTTTTCTTTATTTTTATGCTTAGCTGTGAAAAGCTAGTACGTTGGTTGAATGACTTTGTTTTAGTTTTTTGTATACAATTGTGATACCGTGTATTTTTACTAAATCCCCTGTACAAAAAATGTATATTTTTATTTTTACCTAAAGTTATTACAAAGCTTTAGTATAGCAATATATTTTTGTACAAATATTTCGTCATTGGCAACACACACTCAAACATATTTACCTGAAACAAATTGGCGTGCTATTGTTTTAGGATAGATGAGTAATAGGATATGAGCATGTAAGTGTTAGGTTAGAGGAGCTAGTGTAAAGTACACGTATACGTGTGTGTTAGTCGTTCAAATGTATCAAGGCATGTACGTGTGCTGGGCGGTGGGACGCGGGGGTGCGCTGGCTGCGGGCTGGGCGCGCGGCGGCCGCGCTGCGCTGCTCGCTCGGGCCGCGCTGTGGGCACGACGCGCGGCACGAGCTACGCTCGCGGCACTCGCTCTGCTCGGACTAGTGCCATTGATGTTTGGATTACTGCTGGAATTGGTATGTTGTAATAATAGTTAAGGATACCGGAATTCATAAGACAGCATACGATTGATAACGAAATATAAAAAAGTGTTCGCTACTTGATGACGGACTGCACCTCTTACAGTAATTGTGTCAAGTGTTTTTGACTTAAGTTATTAATTTATATTTTTTTAACCAGGTGTTGGTGATACCTCTGCGCGTACCGCTGGAGCAATCTCCGGTGCTGTTCGTGTGGCAGGACTGGGCGCTGGGCGTGCTCTACACAAAGATCGTGTGTGCGCTTACTATGATGGGTCCCGACTGGACAATGCGGCGTGCTATCGAGAAAGCATATAGAGATGGCATTAGGGAGATGGATTTGAAGTGAGTTGAGATTTTACTGAATTTTAGCGCTTGTACAAAATAATGAGTTGATAATTTCAGTGGCGCAGATGTTAAGAGCGGACCGGACAGCAATCGCAAAAGTTTCAGTTTGTTCTCGCCATTAACGAGTGTGTATATGTGCAGGTTTATACTTCGTGACGTGGCTGCTCCGCTGGTGCGGTGGCTGGGTCTGGCGCTGGCGGTGCCGTACGCGTTGGCACACAGCGCCGCCCCGCTGCTGGTGAGCGCGCCCGTGCAGCGCAACCTGCTCGCAAGACGTATCTACCCAGCGCTACTGTTGCTCGTTGTCCTCGGAGCACTCGCTGTATTCCAGGTATAATATTTATTTCGCCAAAATAGCGAACAAGTTGTCGATACCTATCTTAAAAGAACAAAGGGGCGGACGAACGGAAAGAGAATATCTTCCCTTTCGGTACCTTTCCCCTCCAGAGGCCAATTCCCCTTCTCACACTTCTTACAAAAAAAGGACCGATGGGGAAGGGGGCTGAAATAATTATAGTCTCTGTTCAAATATTTGATATCAAAATATGTTACTTTCTAGATCCGGCAGTTCAGGAAATTGTACGAGCACATTAAGAACGACAAATATCTGGTGGGTCAGCGCCTCGTCAACTACGACCATCGGCGTCACAAGCAACAGCGCAGCTCCGTCGCCGCTACCAACTGAGACCTCTAGAGACCGATCGACCCAGCATGAAACCACCCGAGACTGAGCCTAGACAAATGTTATACATAGTTATGTTTAACCCACTATCTGTACAAGTTAAAACACCCTTTATATCATAAATACCACTTGTATATAAGCCAGATACAAGTTGTATACACCTGATATTACTCGAAGAGACATCTATATACAATATACGAACAAGATTCTGTTAGCGGAACACTATTTAAAGTGTATTATGATAAAATACCCATGTATATCAAATGTATCTTATTTGTATCTTGTATACAAGTGATATACATTATATACACTTGACATCACCGTATCAAATAAAATACTCTGAAAAAATAATATATGTATCTACAAGTTATGACGGAACACTTTTTACCCAAATGCAAGTAAAATATGTAATAACTACATCAAATATTATTATTCGAGATATAAACGATACAAAAATCTTAAAAAAAGACGTTTTGTATAACGTTTTTATAAACTCGGGATAAGCTTAATGTATCGATGTCAAATCATTGTGTCTAGATATTACTGCTCTTAGAAAATTTTGCTTTGAAATTTAATAAATTTTTTAATCTAAAATACGCGGGAGAAAGTGGGAAAAAGCTTAATGTCAATCCAACATTTAGCAAAGAATAACATTTTGGGATTGTATATAATTATCTTTGGTGTGAAGATAAAATATGGCGGCATAGACTATGAATTAGGTATTAAATGCAAATGCATTTTTAACATTTAATATACTTGGTGTATTAAAGAAAATAAGTCCCGATCAGTGAAATCTACCAAATATTTGAGATTATTAGAGAAACTAAATATTGCTAATTTATATTAAATATGAATCCGCCTCATCTTTGCTTCAGTAAAAAATTCCATTATTGAAAGAATAGTTAAAGGCAGTTTTGGAGTTTTTGAGGTTATCTGGAATGAAGAAACCATTTTTTTATATTTATAAATAATTACAATAGATAGACATCAGACAGTAAGATAAAACTAGCGTGAAAAAAGACATTTTTTTTAGTTAAAAAATTTCAATTTTTTTTTAATATTGTATAAATGCAATATAAGATAACTTTTTATCACAAGTTTTATTTAATTGATCGGGACTTAAATGTAGGACGTAATTTGATTACTTTCCTTAAAATATTGCTAGTGATGAATACATTTTATTTAGTCTTTGCTATTACGTAATTTGTACAGTCGCAATATATTTTTATTACTCTGAGTATTGCTAGATTAGCTTATAGGCTTGTATTTCATTCGTCAAATTGTTTTTATCGACGGATATTGTAATTTGTCTTATTTCAACATATTTTTTTTATTCTTTGATCGTTGTTTTTTAGCCGATTAAAAAAAGGTTATTTTACGACTGATCACATTCTTAGTGGACGTGTTATATACATATTTTAAAAAAGAAATTTATTTACATTGAAAAAAAACACATAGAGAACAGTCAAGTCACTTTTCGATAGGCTGCTTTTTGCTTCATTTTTTTCATCTTGTTTTTGTTAATATTTGTTTAGGATATAACCCAGAATTTGCATATAATACGCCCACTTTGTATTTGTCCTATTTAAAATATCCAAGCATATGATAATATATTGTAAAAAGTTTTTATTCAAATTTTTCTATTTTTTGGCTGTAAAAAATATTTGATTACGCGTTGCGCATAAATTATTGAAAAACTATCTATATTTTTTCCTATAGTTTTTATATTGTGGAATTGTTAGTCATAACTCTTAAATAGTTTTTATTGGTAAGTCGAAACGGATGATGAGTAAATAATTTAGAATTTTTGCAAAATTTTTCTATTCAGTGCTTTGCATATAAATATTTAGCAAGATTAGTGTAGTTTTAAAGTAATGTAATTTGAAGAAATTAAACAGTTAAATATAAAATTTCCATTAAAATATAAAATTCTTCCATTTACTTTGACTCTATAGATTATATACAAATTTATTGGGAAACACTCAATTTATTTTTATTGAACATGTTTACTTCTTTAGTTGATTTAATTTAGTTAATAATTAAAGTTACATTACAGTGATTAAATTAAGTTAGATACAAAAAACGTAGATATTGCAAAACCTTGACGATTAATGGGAAATGCAGATGTAATTTATGTGTTTACGAAGTCACTTGACTTTGGTCTTGCAAGTTTGCCAATTTTTAAAAACATTCTTTTGTAATCGCTTTTCCTGCCGGTAATTGAAATTAGTAATTAAATAATTGTTCATGTCGTTAAAATGGATAAATATCGCTGGAAAAAACTTTTTTATTTTGACACGTGACGCGTTCCATTTTACAATTTCAATATTGTTGCAATGTCAACAAAATGCATAGAATAGAATATAATTAAATTATAGTCTATTTGATAAGTCTTCTTCATTAAATTTTCGATAGATTGTTTTTATTAATTTGGGAATCTTCCATTAGCTCCAATCCTTAATTTCAGATTACTCGTAAAAAAAAACAAACAATCCTTTAATACATTTGAAGAATAGACGTATTAGAATTTCAGTTCTGTAGTATTGTTAAGTAGTTTTAAAATTTGTTTCTCTTTTATGTACTGCTCAATCTTGTTATTATATTATTTTTCTTTAATTATCGTCTTTTTTTGTTAACACGTTCTTTATGTTTAAATTATGATGATATTTAATTCCCATACATTAGTAATAGCCTAGTTTCCTTCGTACTGTAATGAAGACGACAAAATGTATGCTGTATATTGCCTTATGTGTCAAACTTAAATATTGTGTCCCAACATATTAAGGTGGCAACGTAGTTTTTAGTACTGAATCATTTTATTACATATAATATCAGTACCTTAATTTTATTTATTATAAATGTTTGAATCTATTAAGCTTTTTTAATTAATTTATTTGTGAAACCTATTAGACTCATCGAGTGGTCCGCCAAATTATACATGGTCGTGAGATACCTGCTGGACAGGAGTTTGTGCAAGTATATCCACTCAGGATGCAACCCAAATTCTGACCACAATCTTAATACATAAGGGATCGCTTAGAGTGAGATTTGATGTAGTGTATTATAAAAAACTTTTAACTTTGTCATCGAAAGATTACACAATGTTTATAAATCAGTTTTGTCATATTTATCGATGGCTGAACATCATATGCATTTGACATGTTGGCATTTGACAACGTAAAAAATTAAAAACTCAAACGTCAACCTAACCTAACCTCAAATTTTCACGTTGATTTTTGTAAATATTATTCTGTTTATATTTTATTAACGGTATTAAATTAAAATAAAACATGGCAGAACAAGTAAATCAGCGTATTGAGGGAATGATAAATGAGTTGGAGCAGATGAAAAGGATAAATTTGTACGGTGACGATGAAATTAAGTTAGTATTTCAACTATAAGTTTTATTTTTACCCTAACGTTCTAACTTTACTGTTAAACATTATTCGTTTATTTTAGAGAAATATCACGTAAACGTAAAGAGTTTGAGTACAGAATACAACGTCGAGTAAAAGAAAAGGATGATTTTGTTCACTACATAGCATACGAGCTAGCTTTATTAGAAGATGTTTCACTCAGGCGGAAGCAAGCCCACGTATCTGAGAAAAGAAATGACATAGAATATGCTATAGCCAAACGTCTGAACAAGATTTTCAAACAGTTTATCTACAGATTCCAAAATAATATTGAAATCTATTTTGAATATATCAAATTTTGTAGAAGTGTTGGCTTCCATCATGCCATTTCAGGAATTATTGGACAAATGTTACAGGTATGTGGAATTACGAAATAATATATGTTATATAGTATTGAATGAAAAGACCTAAGAATTATCCTTTTGGGTTATAAATTGTGATATATATTTATAGATACATGGCGACAAGCCAAAAATGTGGCAGATGGCCAGCAAGTGGGAGAGCAAAGAACAGAAGAACTATGAAAGTGCCAGAGGTTTCTTACTGAAAGGAATTCATAGGCACCCAGAGTCAGATATTCTTTATTTAGATCTGTTTGAAATTGAACTCATTCTTGCTTTTAAAGCTAATGATGATGAACAAAAGGTAATTCAATTCTAAATATTTCATAGACTTATAGAAAACTAGAGGTCGCTTGCAATCTTTGAAAGGGGCTTAAGAAATTATAAAACATGGATAGCTAATTATCTAGTTTCTACAAAAAAAAATTATCACATTCTTTTTATGTATTTAAAAAAATGTTAAATTTATGCATATTTTCAGGAAATTTGTATTAAAAGGGCAGATATTGTATGGAAAAATGGTATGAAAACTGTTGATGACATCTCTTTCCTCTTTAAAATTTGTGATTTAGCTATGAAGTGTGAGGTTGAACAGTTGGTAAAGAGTATTAAAGAAGAGATATGGTCTAGAAGAGACAACAAAGAAGTATGGATTTACATTGCAGATAAAGAATTAGAGGTATTGTTATAAACTTTAGTTATATAGATGACATTATGCAAAAGCATTTTTTTTGTTAGTGCCTAAACCTACTCTGGTATCATAAGAATACCTAACAGATTTCAACAAAATCCATTCATTGGCTTAGGAATGCATAAGGCTCAAATATAAATAATATTTTATAATAAAAGAAAAATGTTTAAACTATTATTTGGCTGTTGGTAGATATCAATTTCAAGTTATCGCATTTGGAAATATAATATGTTTTCAGGGTTACCATTGGGAAGAAATTGAGGAATACATTAATGAAGACTATTATTTTCCAAAGGAAATTAAAAATTACATTTGTGTCTATGAAGAGGCACTGCAACAGGTTAGTAAATATTGCTTATATTTTTGTGATCTTACTGATGTGATCTGTGATCTCTAGAATGGCTCCATGAATCTTGCTGAAATTTGGCATAGATGTAGAATAGTGTGGGAGAACACATAGGCTATTAATTAAGTTTTTTTTTAGATGGAAACTGGGGCGATAGTTAGTTTAATCATAAAGTCAAACTATAATTAGAAAGACACATAATTTTATGTTAAGATTCTCATCATATGTATGTTGTAATTTTATAAATTAACTCAATGAGAAGACTATGTTATACTCTGTCATTAGAAAATAATTGTGTACCAAAGTAATCAAAAATTATGCAAAAAAATCATAATACAAATTAATCAATTTTTGACATCTGAAAATTGACATGTCTGATAACAATGGTAGCTCGTTTACTACCGGTCGACTGTTTTTAAATTTAAATGATAAATAAAAATGCTGACACATTTTACATGAGCAGTTTTTAGCTGATCATTCACCAAAAATGATGATGAATTTATATTAAGAGTATTTTTATTTATATTAATTACATAATATTAAGAGTTCGCCAATCCATGGGTTTCTGAGACCAAATTCTGTGTATAATCGTCATCCCTATCATTATCTTAGAGAAAACAGAGATAATATGTTTTGAATGGTCTCAGAACCCCATAGTTAGTCTTTTAATACTCAGCCATTACTCTTGTGATTTTGTCATACTTTTTGTAGTTTCCAGATGAGAAATTATGTACGAAATTCATCCATGGCTTATTGAGGATAAATGATACATTATGTACAGACCTGCAAAAAATCCGAGTTGTAAAACATGCCTGGATGTTTGGCCATGAGAATGGAGTGTTGTCAAATGAAATGTATGCTTTCGGGATAGAGTTATTGAAGCTTGAAAATACATTATCAAATGATGATTTTAAACAGGTATGAAAAACAACGAAGTCATTGAAAGTTTTTAGAATTATGCCTTTTGTTAATATAATATAAATCTTTTTTATAAAATTCTCATGTCACAATGTTACCCTACTACTCCGAAACGGCTTGACCGATTTTTATGAAATTTTATATGCATATTCAATAGGTTTTAGAATCGGGTACTGTCTATTTTTAATCCCGAGTCGGACGGAATCGCGAGCGGCGGCTAGTATGTCTATAATCTTTGTAGATTATGCGAAATTGATAAATAAATATTTCTTTTTTAGATTATAGATTCAGCGCTGGATAAAAATCCACATGCAAGGTTTTTGTGGGAAGAAAAATTACTTTTGAATGATAAAGATGAAAAGCAAAAATTGGCAATACTCAAGGATGCTGGAAAGGTTTTAAAAGCTGATGATTACTTGCATCTATGGAATACATTGTTGGACAACATACAAACAAGTGAAGCAGTAAGTATTTGTGATAGTAGGAAATTCATGATTTTTACCAACAAATTTGGTGGGTGGTAAAAATGATTTAATAGAAAAACTATGAAATATAATTGCATCTGTTTTAACTCAGTTTCACTTGAATATGTGAAAATCGTAATAGCAGTGAATGTTGTTAACATGTAGGTTTGTAAAGTTAAGATAGTGGCATAGGCTGATAATAATGTTTTCTCAAGATAACAGAGGCAAACTGAATGCCCTTACAGGATTTAACAAAACATTGTTATAACTTTAGTGTTTTTTTTTTCAGCTTAAAAGTTGCTATGATAAATTTAAAAATTGTGAAGAAGCAGTATTATTGGCCATTAAACCTAAACTTCTTAACAAAATGTACAAGTGTAGTGGATTGAAGGCAACTCGCGATTTGTACGAAGAATTCATCAGAACTCCACCAACACAGATTGAGGTTCATACTGTCATGATAGACATAGAGAAATCACAACAGAAACCAAACTTGAAAAATATTAGAAAATGTTTTGAATGTTTGGTTCAGCATCATGGGGCAAGTAGCATTCAAGTTTGGACAGATTATATTAATTTTGAAACACAAAATGGTAGTCCTCAAAACTCACCAGCAATCTACAGAAGAGCAATAGCTGCACTAAAGAAAGAATTAGTAGACGAATTTATTAAAAATCAAACATTATCAAGAATAAAGTAGACATTTGTTTTATTTTGTAATCGGTTAATAATAAATAATAATGAGGAACAAAATATAATTTATTACAACCACACCTTTATGTCAACAATCTAGCAAAGGTACTAAGTAGTACAACCTTTATATTAAATGTATTTACAATTATCAATAACATTCAAATTTTCTACAACAAGTTGAATCTCTACTTCGGTGATTGTGGATAACACTTAAGCAAATAAACACACAGATAAATGCAATGTTATATTCATGTTCCTGCAATTACTGCATCGCTGCAATTGGTGCTATGTAGTACCTGAAGATAAGTGAGGAACCACGCTTATGCTGCTTGTTTCGGAGCAGGTCTCTCCAGCATGCTTGCCAGGATGTATACTTTGGCATGGCGGGAGGGTTGCCTGCTTTGAGGCTCGACCCTGCCACAGCCATACAAGTAGACACCACCACAAGTGGATATGTCAGAGTGCTTGTTATGAATGTAAGTATTGGTACAGTATAATAACGGAGGTCTTTAGTTTTCACAAAATACTTATTGACATAATACGCCAAAACTCCGGTCACTGCTATGCAAGTCAAATCTCCCAGTAGTTTTGGAATCAATCCATGGAAGAAACCAAGTATGCCATCATCTTTGTAAATAGATACTATAGTTCCAAGCAATGTGTTATAGTCCTCCTCTTTCCCAATAAAAGAAGCCATCATTCTAACAGATACAACATGGAAGGGATATGACACTACAACGGAGGCAGTGTGCATAATCATATCACGACGACCCATTTTCACGTAGTCCTCTAACTTAGGCTCATCGTCAGTTATAATATTCGGTGGGTCGCTGATTTCAGGCAAGTCAATGCCGCACACATTGATTACTTTACATGAGAGTTGGCTCGATGCTATTAACCCAAGGATCCGTGCCGACAGGCCCCTGTAGCAGCCGAAGTAGCCGTCTGATGCTTTGATGAATTTGATATATTGGAACACATTAGGTAATATCATAGCAGGACGACCAAATAGAGTAGTCGACCGGCGTGGTGGCAACGGCTCGTATCCAAGCTGAATAAGAACTTTTGCATATTCCATAGGGTGGAATATTGTCGTGACAAGCAATTGCGAGTGAAGCGCCGTTATTTTTTCCTTTTCAATTTCTTCCATCTTTGCACAAAAGGATTACGAGTCTACTTCTGAAATTAAAAATGACAAATGACAGGACAATAAATGAACTAAATAACCACAGACAAAGAAAAGTTCACAGATAAGATAAAAATATTAATAGTCTCTTTTATTTTTAATTTCACTGTCAGGCAAACAAATCTTATGTGTTAAATTTCATTGTGGACACAGGTATTCCAATGATGTAAAGGAAAACATACAATTTATCCATTCTTTTAGGATTTAGAAAAATTTGAACAAGTACCGGGTCATGTGCGCAATAGGTCTATGCTTTTTTATTCTAAAAACAGAAGTGATTGCATCTGGCTTAAAAATTATGTTTTAATTTCATAACAATTCGGTTAAAAACAAATAGGGCTGATAGTATTGAAACTTCCTTTACATTAATTTTCAGTCTTTTGCTATAACATCGGAATCCAAGGTTCATTACCATCTAAAAAAACAATTTGCGAGCAGTAGAATGAAAAAGAATAATGTAACATTTAATCGTATATTATTTTTAACTAATTATAATAATTATGCACTCGTAGTCAGTTCGATTGAACTTTCTTCATCAATTTTATATGGTGATTGTGAGGGCATCACGGGTAATCCGTTATTATTTTTTTCTAACACGTCGTTGGATTCCTGTAACAAATGTTTTTAAAAAGAATAATTACTAAAATGTAATTGCATCATGTCCTATGAGAGTTAAAATGTATTGAATACTTTATTAACCCATATATCCGAAACACTAATTGTGGGTTATTCCTCTGAATCTCTTTAAAAAAATAGAGACAGCGATACATTTTTTGTACAAGTATACTAAAATAGAGTTTGACGGTTAGTTGTGAATTTTATAGCGATTTTACCGTTTCAGTTTCTTCTTCATCTTCTGTGTCTTTTTCTGAAGTATTTTCATCTTCTTCGTTTTCTAATGTTTCGTCTTTTTCTTCCAACGTTTCAAAAGCGACGTCTTTGTCTATGATTTCTGAAAGACGTTTGATCATTATACATTTTTACGTAAAGACGTACTCGTTTTTTTACAAGATTTATTGCACTACACAAGTGTCTAATGACTAAAGCTCCGTAAAAATACTAGACTTCTTGGTTCTATTTGGAGAAATGGTACTTAATATTTTATCCTTTAAAGCTGAGAATGAGGATTTCAGCTAATTAAACTCCATGTTTATGTATTTTTTTTGTAATAACAGTACCTCGAAATCTCAAAGAACCCTTCCTGGCCACTGGTTTCTCATCGCTGGTTTCCACAATTACCGTCGGAGTTATGTCTATTGTCACACCATTTGATTTTAATTCTTCCTTTCCTTGAACACTATCTTCTTTATTAAGCTGAAAAATAACATAACAATATCATACAGATTTTAGCAAAGTTTTTAGCTGCGATAATTTAATTATTTACCTGTAGAAATGACACGCTAGGTTCTTGTAATTTTATAGCTTTCTCTTTATTACGCATTATATTTTCATCAGTTTCTTTTTCTAAACGCAGTTTATGTGCTTTGTGGGTCCGCCACATCTGTCAATTTAAACAATTGTTGGCAGTAAGTTTTTCTCTGTGCGTTTAATCTGTGCGAATATTTTTGCAAATTGTCTTTGTTTATACTTACATGTGATCCACAATAGAATAGTCCAAGCAAGAATATGACTATTAGAGCTATGAAGAATTTATCAGTGTTTTCTTCTTCGGCATCGGGTTGTTGGTGTATAGAGTCGTAAGGCGCTCTCGCAGGAGGATCTTCCACCCACGTCTTATCAACACTCTGTCAAGCGACAAGTTCACACGTAACTGTTAGTTTCCACTGTCGAATTGCTTGTATAAAAACATATTTTTCATCCTTCTCATTCTCTCGGAAAAAACAAGACAAGAGAACTTTTTCTTATAAGTATTTCGGCAATGAACTTTACGGTTGTGTTTAATTAGTTTGCGCAAGAATATTAAAGTAATTTCTTTATCAGTTTCCTGAAGATGGTTATTTTTGGTCAATTGGTCGTATGTGATATTGCAGATCAATTTTTATCAGACAAAATAATTGGTTCTATTGTGAGTTAAGGTAACCATCGCTGTTAGCAGTATTCGGACAGAATTACAATTTGACCACTTTTTTACGAAATAAGGAATGATTCTAAACAATTTATCAGACTTCAGCTTAGATTTAACTTAATTAACTTAGCAGAATTGTGAAATAGTAACATACAATAAGGAAACTTCCATTATGCGTTGCCAGTTGATCACGCTCCGGCCACGTATCATCGAAGTCCGCGGAGCATTGTGCGCTGCGAACACCGCGTGCGTTTACCGCGTTCACCTTTTCAGCGTCAGATCTTGTGAACAGCATGTATTCCTCTAATGGCTTCATCTCGTAGTCGTTCAACTCAACAAATATGTCTGTAACAATAGCTGTACTTTAGTTATCATAATCATCAGCCCACTATACGTCCATACTGAATTGCTTGAAGACACGTGCGTGTTCGGACTTTAGTCGTGTTTGTATAATACAATAAATAGAACATGTAGTGACAATAGCCAAACATCTGCTTTTATATTCTTTACGCGCATATGAGTTTTTTTTTACATTAAAGAAGAGAATTAAACAGTGAGTGAACTTTAAAATAATTTCTTAGTGTCCAGTGTCAATGAAAACTATTTTTGGTTAATTAATATCGTTCTAATGAATATTGTGTCAATTTGAAAAATCAGGATTTCTAGATCATTTTACTGATTTCTAAATTGAATAACACTTGAAAAAATGTTGATAAGTGGGACATCAGAAGCTTACATTTAATAAAACTCAAACCCGGGAAGCCCTAGTTAACATTGCAGCGGATTTGAAACTAGGATTTCATAAAATTAATCCGACTGCGTTACTAGGAAGTCTTAAATTCGGGAATTATAAAATTTTGTTAAAATAGAGTCACGAATTCGGAATGCTTTAACCTTTTTTTATAGCTGCTATTCATAACAACAGATGTGTATAAATACATCTATTTTTTTTTTACTTTTTAGTTACTTTCTGAAAATTATTTAGTTAAATGAAGTTGTAAAATGAGCATAGCTAATTTGTACTATACGAGTTTAATCGTAAAATATTAACTTTGTCTATGGTAAAAATGTTTAGGCTTTACGATTAAACAAGAAAATAATTCTTTAATTTTACAATAACACTAAATAGGTATAAAGTTACTTACTGGATAGACAGCCGTTATAACCCTTATAAATCATGAGTCGGGGGTCAGTGGTGTTGAGGCCCCCTATTTGCACTTCGTTAGAGCCCACATCAAACACCTCCCACAGGCCTTGAGGTGGAAGTTTCTCAAGCGGCACCTCTATTCTGTCTATTAAGAGCTTAGCTTCTTGACCTACTCTCGTATAATACACAGTATGACGGGCTCCTGTTCAACAAATTCAATTTGTTCATTTATCACGTCTTGTAGATACACAATTGGAGCAGCTTACCGTGAATTTACACTAGCGAAAGACATGTAAATATATCGTTATCCCTTTTACTTCAAAGACAATCAGTGGAAATATATCTTTATACAGATTTTTCGTTAGTGAAATCCCACGATTATAGAAATAATGTTAGTTGAAAAAGTAACCTATGGAAAAATTGCTGTTTTTTAAACGGCTTCAAAAAGGAGGAGGTTCTCAATTTGTCTGTATGTTTTCTATTTTTGTTACTTCGTAACTCTTGGTCCTCCGATTTTTGTGAAAATGATAACAAATATGTTTTCTATCAGTATTTCGGCAATCGAAATCAGTTGACCAGACAGTATCAGGAAGGTATTTGTTAGTAGGTAGTAGGTTAGGTTTTGTACGTATTTTTTAATTTACCATTTAGAAAGTTTCTATTTTTCACCTC